AACACTGGAGCTCCCAAATTTAGAAAACAATTCCTAATAGACCTAAGAAATGAGACAGACAGCAACACAATAATAGTGGAGGACTTCAGTACTCTACTGGCAGCACTAGACAGATCATCAAGACAGAAAGTCAACAAAGAAACAATGGATTTAAACTATACCTTGGAACAAATGGATTTAAGATATATACAGAACATTTCATCTGACAACTGCAGAATACACATTCTATTCAACAGTGCATGGAACTTTCTCCAAGATGGACTACATGATAGGTCACAAAATGAGCCTCAATAAATTTAAGAAAATTGAAATTATATCAAGTACTCTCTCAGACCACAGCAGAATAAAACTGGAAATCAACTCCAAAAGGAACCTTCAAAACCATGCAAATACACGGAAATTAAATAACCTGCTCCTGAATGAGCATTGGGTCAAAAACGAAATCAAGATGGAAATTTAAAAATTCTTCAAACTGAATGACAATAATGACACAACCTATCAAAACCTCTGGGATACAGCAAAGGCGGTGCTAAGAGGAAAGTTCATAGCCCTAAATGCCTACATCGAAAACACTGAAAGAGCACAAACTGACACTCTAAAATCACACTGCAAGGAACTAGAGAAACAAGAAGAAACCAGACCCAAACTCAGCAGAATAAAGGAAATAACCAAGATCAGAGCAGAACTAAATGAAATTGAAACAGCAACAAAAAAAAATTCAAAAGATAAATGAAACAAAAAGCTGGTTCTTTGAAAAGATAAACTGATAGACCACTGACAAGATTAACCAAGAAAAGAAGAGAGAAAATCCAATGACCTCACTAAGAAACAAAACAGAAGATATTTCAACTGACACCACTGAAATATAAAAGGTCAATCAAGGCTACTATGAACACCTTTATGCACATAAACTAGAAAACCTAGAAGAGATGGATAAATTCCTGGAAAAATACAACCCTTCTAGCTTAAATCAGGAAGAATCAGATACCCTAAACAGACCAATAACAAGCAGTGAGATTGAAATGATAATTTAAAAATTACCAACAAAAAAAGGTCCAGGACCAGACAGATTCACAGCAGAATTCTACTAGATATTCAAAGAAGAATTAGTACCAATCTTTTTAACATTATTCCACAAGATAGAGAAAGAAGGAACCCTCCCTAACTCATTCTATGAGGCCAGCATCACCCTAATACCAAAACCAGGAAAGGACATAACCAAAAAAGAAAACTACAGATGGATATCCTTGATGAACATAGATGCTAAAATCCTTAACAAAATACTTCCTAACTGAATCCAGCAAATTACCAAAAAGATAATCTACCATGATCAAGTGGGTTTCATACCAGGGATGCAGGGATGGTTTAACACGTGCGAGTCAATAAATGTGATACACCACATAAACAGAATTAAAAACAAAAATCACCTGATCATTTCAGTAGATGCAGAAAAAGCATTAGACAAAATCCAGCATTCCTTTGCGATTAAAACTCTCAGCAAAATCGACATACAAGGGACATACCTTAGTGTAATAAAAGTCATCTGTGATGAACCCAGCCAATATAAAATAAAATTTCCAGGTACAAGATTAATGTACACAAATCAGTAGCTCTTTTATATACACCAATAGCAACCAAGTGGAGAATCAAATCAAGAACTCAACCCCTTATACAATAGCTGCAAAAAACAAAACAAAACAAAACTTAGGAAATACCTAACCAAGGAGTCAAACAACATCTACAAGGACAACTATAAAACATTGCTGAAAGAAATCATAGATGACACGAACAAATGGAAATACATCCCATGCTCATGAATTGGTAGAATCAATATTGTTAAAATGACCATACTGCCAAAAGCAATCTACAAATTCAATGCAATCCTCATCAAAATACTACCATCATTCTTCACAGAATTAGAAAAAAACAATTCTAAAATTCATGTGGAACCAAAAAAGAGCCCACATAACTGAAGCAAGACTAAGCAAAAAGAACAAATCTGGAGGCATCACAGTCCCTAATTTCAAACTATACTATAAGGCCATAGTCACCAAAACAGCGTGGTACTGGTACAAAAATAGGGACATAGATGAATGGAACAGAATAGAGAACCCAGAAATAAACCCAAATACTTACAGCTAGCTGAACATAACAGAAACATAAAGTGGGGAAACGACACCCTTTTCGACAAATGGTGCTGGGATCATTGGCTAGCCACATGAGGAGAATGAAACTGGATCCTCATCTCTCACCTTATACAAAAACCAACTCAAGATAGATTAAGGATTTAAACCTAGGACCTGAAACTATAAAAATTCTAGAAGATAACATTGGAAAAACCCTTCTAGACATTGGCTTAGGCAAGGATGTCATGACCAAGAACCCAAAAGGAAATGCAATAAAGACAAAGATAAATAGCTGGGACCTAATTAAACTAAAGAGCTTTTGCACGGCAAAAGGAACAGTCAGCAGGGTAAACAGACGACCCACAGAGTGGGAGAAAAATCTTCACAATCTGTACATCTGACAAGGGACTATTATCCAGAATCTACAATGAACTCAAAACAAATCAGCAAGAAAAAAAACAGACAATCCCATCAAAAAGTGGGCTAAGGACATGAACAGACAATTCTCAAAAGAAGATACACAAATGGCCAACAAAAATGTGAAAAAATGCTCAACATCACTCATGATCAGGGAAATGCAAATCAAAACCACAATGTGATAGCACCTCACTCCTGCAAGAATGGCTGTAATCAAAAAATCAAAAAACAATAAATGCTAGTGTAAATGTGGTAGACAGGGAACACTTGTACACTGCTGGTGGGAATGTAAACTAGTACAACCGCTATGGAAAACAGTGTGGAGATTCTTTAAAGAACTAAAAGTAGAGCTACCATTTGATCCAGCAATCCTGCTGTTATGCATCTACCCAGAGGAAAATAAATCATTATTCAAAAAAGATACTTGCACACGCATGTTTATAGCAGCACAATTCACAATAGCAAAATCTTGGAATCAACCCAAATGCCCATCAATCAAGTACATAAAGAAATTGTGGTGTGTGTGTGTGTATATATATATTCCATCATATATGTGTGTATATATACACACATACACATATATATATGTATATATACACACACATATATACACATATATGATGGAATACTACACAGCCATAAAAAGGAATGAATTAACAGCATTTGCAGTGACCTGGATGAGGTTGGAAACTATTATTCTAAGTGAAGCAACTCAGGAATGGAAAACCAAACATCGTATGTTCTCACTGGTATGTGGGAGCTAAGCTATGAGGACGCAAAGGCATAAGAATGATACAATGGACTTTGGAGACTTAGCGGGAAGGTTGCGCCTGGCTTGTGGCTATTTGTTGCAGCAGCCACAGGAAACTAGGTTGGCAGGTGACTCACCTTCAGAGAGACCTGTTCTCGGAGCGTGGAGTTGGCATAGGCGAAGGTGCTAGCCATCCCAATGCACACAGCGATGCCTGTGGGACAGAGAAGGGCCTGACGTCACCCACTTAGACTCACCAGGCCTAGCCTGGGTGCTGAGCAACATGAGGGAAAAGACACATCCCTAGGCCCCTTGGAGTTGATAGGAGAGAGAGAGTAAAATTAAAAAAAAAAAAAATCCCACTTCT